TGTTCATGCTGGCCTTTGTGGCAAATGCATGCATTGGAGACGTGACTCCTAAAAGACAGTCAGATGTTAGAAAGGCACAGATTCTGAGGTCCAGCAAGGCTAGGTTGAAATGTGTTCTCTCTGGTCTCATTAACTGTGATTTGTGACTTACTATCTAATGTAGCTAAGCCTTGCTTTTCTCATCTATAAAATTTGAATAAAAACCTCTGACCCCCAAACTTTTTGGGGGGATAAGTAAGGTAATACATTTACCAATGCCCATGAGGAATTACCGAGATAGTTCATCTAGAAATAACTGAAGTACAATGGGTTATGAGGAATACATTAAGGTAATATAAGTAGAAGTGCCTTAGCACCCTGCCCTTTATATAGCAGATGGTCCATGCATGTTATTTCTCCTCCATTCTTCTGCTAATTTTTCTTCTGTAATATCAAGTAAGTAAAAAGATTTGGACTTTAGTGGGAACCTTGTACTTTGCTGTGTATAGCACTTTTGTGGGGACCTTACACCTTACTGTGTGTAGCATATCATGTTGTAATACACTAAAAGGCCAACCTTGTGTACTTAAGTTATGGCTTCAATAAGGATATTTGCCTTAGAGGTGTAGGTAGAACTTCTGGGGTCTACTCAGTTCAATCAACTCAAGGGTATTTTATCTTTCAGATGTTAGGAGAAAAACCTTTAATACTGGAAAGGACTTTGTTAAAACATCCTGGAAAAAGGGCTATATGTTTATCATAGCCAATTGTTTTATTTTTCACTTGAATTTTTTTTTATGAGAAAAGATTTTATAGAAAGAGCTTGGTTCCCGATGGAAATAAAATGGACACTCTTAGATATAGCTTAGTCAATTAATCAATATGACTAGGACATTATATCTCCAACACATATTTTTTCCCTTTTTCTTAATATATTTATTTTCTCGTAGCATAGCCCAGGGCCTAGGAATCATTATGGATTCCTTGGAATATGTCACATCATTCCATTCCATTCAGATGCTTCTTCTTCAGAGTTCCTACATTTTGAGGTTAATGCCTTTTTTGGATAGGAAATATATAAAATATTTGTGACTTGGGTAATATAGAGCAATCTTTTGTCTATGATTAACGATTCTCAAAGTTTGCCTAGTTATCTTCTCTAGATTACCGTTCCAGGTACCCAAGCAAACTGCCACATGGTCCTAATTTTGCAAATTCCTTGTTCATTTTTGTTATAATTTCCTCTATTATCTATATCTTGAGTCATCTTTACTTAAAGCGCTTAGTATCCCTCTATGTTACAGAGATAGATACTCTTAGACCTATAGATTCCATTTTAAGGCAGCAAAGTTATTTGGTCTTATTCTGCCTGGTTGCATGGTTGTAATTATCAGGCCATGTGCTATAGTTAACTAGGTTTCCTTTTCATTCCATTTGACCTGACAGTCCATTTCTTGGTTTTCCTCTCCAGATCTTCATAAAGTCTAACTTCTGCTATGTAGGTCCTAACCGTGTATCCTAGTGTGTTTCATCTACCCAACCCTATCTTCTGACCTGTACTTTTACTTATGGCAAGATGTTAGTGCTCACCTCTTACTCACCACGGATATATGTGATATTGACTATTTGTCTCTAGCTATGACTGATGGTAGGACTCATCTTGCCTGCCTGTCCGTCCCCCCAACCAGATCTTTCTTGTGCCTGATTCTGGCTACCTCTAATTTGTCACACATTGTTCATGACTGAATCCCTGCTCTGACTTTTGCCTTTATGGATTTTTCTAGACTGGATCCTTTAACTTTCAAGCTGGTACTCCAATTTCCTATAGTAAGAATAGAGGATAATGAACTTGAATAATGTTATTATCATTTTTTTTTTCTGACAGGAATGAAAGATTAAAAATGTTAAACTGTAGCTAAGCAGTGCCTAAATACAGTCTTTGGCAAACTGTAATGCAAGTCAAATGGATTTTGAACATTCTTCTACCTCCTCATAAGGTGACCCTTTTCTTTTTCTTTCTTTCTCTCCAAAAATTCTAATCTTTAGCTGTCCCAGGTCATCCCAGTTGGAAATTGCTAAGAAAACTATAGATGTTGATGATATCATGTTAATTCTCTTTGAAAATTTGCATGATAAAAGGGCACTGCAGAAAGCATAATTGAAAGTAAATTTTAAGACTCTGTGTCCCCTCCAACTGCATTTCTTTACAGAAAAATACCTTCCATGCTTTTGGATTTGAATGACTAAATTAATTAACAAAAAACTAGGACTGCAAATATATAGTTATTAACTTTGTTTATTTAAAAATACTTACAAATTTTACATCACCATCATTTTCTAAATGACAGTAAATTTTAATTAAAAAAATAAGACATCATCTCAGAATAAAGGGTCATATTTCTCGTGAGAGGACACAAATTGTTAATTTTGAATGCAGAAACTTACATGAAATTTTGTTTTGTATGGAGTTTTGTGCAAAAAAATATTTCAAATTAATAGTTTCATTGTGACAAAAATAAAAGGAGGAAAAAAGGAAAGAAAGAAAAAAAAAGCGACAACCAAATATTCAGCTTTTTCCAGAGCACTGATTTTCAAGTCACAACCATTGTTGAACATCTAGTTTCATGTACATATGTTTGTGATAACAGTGTTGAACTTCATCTGAGTTTTGGGATTCTGTAAAGCAAGGATGGTTGGAAAAGCCTTCCACCCCTCTTTTATTCTGTTTTGAGAAATCACTAGGCTAACCACAAAAACCACCTGCCAGGGAATATTCTAAGACATGATCCAATTCCACCCTCCTCCACGACTCTAGGCTGTTTTATAAAACTCTAGGCTTTCTCTATCTTCTTTTCCACTTTCTCATTAATGACTGTTTTCCCCCTAATGCAAAAGCCTGAATAGTCATCTCTGTAATTACCTGGTGCGTTTTGTCTTTCACAATCAAAATATTCAACCTCATCCACCTCCCCCTGACCTGTTTCTGTTGTAATCAACTCGGCATTCTTTGTGAACTCTGACAAGTCAAGGACCAGCTGCTTTGTCCCCTTTCTCCTTGATGAGAGATAACAGTGGGCGGGGAGACTTGCTAAGGCTGGCTCCAGGTGGCCCTTTAGGATAGCGGATGCTGAGCCTCAGGTAACTGATTATTTATTTCACTATGACCGGGCAGATATTTTCACATTTTTCTGGCCAGGATGTCATGTGTTCCTGTGAGGTTTATTTATTTATGTATGTATGTATGTATGTATTTATTTATTTATTTGTTTATTTCTCCTGGGAGTTGATTGCAAGGGAAGTGCTTTTGTGAGCAAGGAAAAAAATAACAATGATTGCTGCTATAGATTTTAAATTAGAATTTCATTTATTAAAGTAATAGTTTAAAACCCTGTTTTCTTTAAGCCTTTAAATTTAATGAACAGAGCTGATTTTACTGTTTATTAAACTAGTAAACTTTAAGGATCACTATGGGGGGGGGTGTGTGTGCGATAATTTTCAATCAATCCAAATTGAAATGAATAAACTTATTTAAATAATCAGACTCATTTTAAGCTTAGTCTATTCAATTTATTTAAACGCTTTAAAATATGTTTAAGTTCTTTCATCCTTTGACTTTGTAAAGTACAAAGTAAATTTAATCATCAGTGTACCTAATTCTAAGCCTTGCCAGAGTTAAGATCCTCTTTCTCAGTAAGGAAATAGCTTTACTATTTCAGGTAAGTTGAAGTTTCCATTCCGTAAGAATGGGAGAGCTTATTGACCTGAGGGGTTTTTAAAAAAATTTTTTTTAACGTTTATTTATTATTGAAAGACAGATAGAGACAGAGTGTGAGCAGGGGAGGGGCAGAGAGAGAGGGAGACACAGAATCCGAAGCAGGCTCCAGGCTCTGAGCTGTCAGCACAGAGCCCGACGCGGGCTCAAACTCACAAACCGTGAGATCATGACCTGAGCCAAAGTCGGACGCTTAACCGACTGAGCCACCCAGGCACCCCTGAGGGTTTTGTCTGGACTCTGGATGAAGCCTACTCATCTTTCACCAGTGAGGGAACGTACACTTTTGTATTTAGCTGCTGTTACGTGATTCTTGGTCTAAACTCTTTAAACTCAGTTTATTTCTATTGGTTTCCAGTTACATCTTACCAAATGTTTTTCACCTGATTTGCGTCTGCAACTTCACTTCCTTTAACCAATTTCTCCCTGATGGGTTGATTGCTGGATTATTTTTATATTCTTTTATGGCCGGTGACAGCTCTTTTGTGGATATTAAAAAAAACCCAGATTCTGCATATCTCCCATGACTTGGTTTTGTTTGTAAGATCACAGTTTCTAAGATTCCACTAATTACATCATCAATCTATACACACTTCTTCATGAACCCCTGTTTATTGGCCAGTGGGGAAAACTACCACTAGCCTCAATGAGTGTGGAAAACTGCGAGTCCAAGATCCTTAAAAGGTAGGGAGAAGACAGGGAAACATAGATGATAACCTGATAGCCGACATAATCTTTGGTCATGTGCCAGCTACAGTCTCTGCTTCTTTAGGTGTGGAATACCTACCTATCTCAGGGTGTGCAATAAAAGCTCAGTGTGAGCATATGCTTGGAGGACTTCTGAAATGTTTTCATGAATTAAAGGCATGAAGCCAATGATTACCATGTTTATATTTCTCATCATTTGGATCTAAAATAATAATAACTCTTTTAAAAGTAAATATGGAAGGTGTATTTGATTTTGCAGAGATGGATTATGAATTAAAGACTGTATAGAAAACACTATACAGCAAGAGGAGTCCTTCGAATTTTGTGAGTGGGTATATATCACAGAAGGAAATAGTCGTGGATAATAAAACAACCCAACTCAGCTAAATAGACTATGTGACACAAAATATGTATTGCTTCTGAAGTAAATTAAATATGACTTAGGAGAATGAGCTAAAGAGACAATATCTGGGACCGAGGGGCTAGAATCTTTTACAATAAATAAAATAAATCCTAACAAGTTCTCTTTTTTCCCCTTCAGGCCTTTCCTATTAAAGTGATAAATGCTTACAAAACAGATATCCAGCTACATAACCAAGCAGATTGAATGGGACTGGGGGACATTTCACAACAGTGATTTTGATTCTTCAAACTTTTGGAGACAAAACAACTTTCAGATGAAGAATGAAATTTGAAGCCAGAATAGCATGCAATGAAAAACATTTTAAATCCATGCCTTCTTTTTGAAGTTGTATCTTTTTTGGATGCTCAAGAGTGAGTTGGATTTGCAGCCACAAATCAAATGTTCAGAAATCCTTGGCTGTCTGAGCCTGGCGGCCCTCATCCAGCCAGCTGGACGATAAAACACCTGGGTTGATTCTATTTATTCTGGAGGGGAGGAGCAAGGCTGTGCAAAACAACATGAAGAAAGACTCGCCTATGCAAAATTGCAATGTATCTAAAATTTCGTTGTCTTCTCATTGTCCTTGTGGTATCTGTTCTTCCTTGGTCTTTTACATGTTCCCAGTGCCCCCCATTTGGAGAGTCCAGAGTGATGCTCCTTGATCAGAGGTCAGTGTATCACCTCATTGCCTTGTTTTAGGGTTTGTCAACCCCGCCACTCATACAAACGTGTTACCTTTGCCACTCTCTCCTTACTCTGCTTTCTAGATGAAAATAGTAAAAATTGTCAGTAAACTGATCATTTGTGAAGGTAGTCTATCAGGATCTTAGTCAGCTTGGGCTGCTATGAGAAAATACCATAGACTGAGTGGTTTGAACAACGGAAATTTACTTTTCACAGTTCTAGAGGCTGGAAGCCCAAGATCAGGGTGCTGGTATGGTGTGGTTCTGGTGAGAGCTCTTTTGCTGGCATGCAGATGTTTGCCTTCTCGTTCTATCCTTATCTAGGAAACAGAGAGGGGGTGGGGCAGAGAGAGTGAGAGCATGCTCCTCCCTTGGCTTCCGTTAAGAACAATAATCCCATCATGGGGGCTCCATTCTCATGACTTCATCTCAACTTAATTACCTTCCAAAGGCCCCACCTCCAAATACCATCACACTTGTGATTAGGACTTCCTATGAATTTTGGTGGGGCATGAATATTCATTCCTTAGAAATCAAGTCATTTTTGTGTCTTTCTAAGGAAATCTATTAAAATCTCTCTAGTAGGTATAGCAGATAAGGGGCAGTATGGCAGATAAGGGGCAGGAAAATGAGTGAGTAAATGAAGTATTTTAGCAATGGCCTGTTCTTTAGCCCTCTTCTAAATGTTTTAACCACTCAAGAGACATTAACCTCTGTCTGGAGCTGGTCCAGGATAGGTGTGGTTCAGTCAATAGAGGTATGACATCTTTCTTCCATCTCCTACACAAAGGAAGCATTCTGCTCTGCTTGTCCTGTGCCCAATGACACTCACAGGTAGCTACAGCAGGAAAGGTGACTGTTTACAGTAGGCTAACCCCCCCTGCAATCCCAGCCAGCAGTCAACTATTCTGCTTCTGAAGAGGTAAAGACTACTGCCTTATGAGGATATTCCTTAAACAATGTGGCTGGTTTTTCAGTGTTGGCAATAAGGGAATGAGTAAATGAATCTGGAGGACGTAACATTAGGAACTAGGAAGTGAGTGCCAAGAACCATCTGAGCAGCAGGCAGGAGACAAGACCGGTAGAACTGGGGAGGCAGGAGTCAGCAGTGGGAGAGGAGAGCTGAACAAGCAGCTCCTGCCGAGTTGTCTGGTACCCGCAGCAGAAAGCAGGTGTGATCAGGATATTGGAATAGAGCTGCCAAACAAGGGAGGAGGGGAGGCAAGCCCAAATCCCATCTGAGGTCTCAGGGACAGGGTCTGGAGATTTAAAGGGAATGGAAAAGTCAGGAGACGAATGAGTAGGGTAAAAGGAATATGCACCAGAGCTGAGGAGACTAATTTAACTGACTTCTTTGGCCATTCTCTTGGTAGAAGGCAATACCTTGTGGTAGGATAAAGGATATTAGGTGTCTTCAGGCTGAGAGGGGGCCATTCAAATGATAGTAGCTTGCTAGGAGGTAAACCGTGATGCTCTGTAGACCTAAATCAGAGGGAAGCTCATATCCGTTCCACCTTCCACCTGTTATCAGTTAGCAGGGGCACTGCCTGAAGGAATGTTGCATGATCAGAACATTCTGTCATACTGGAGACAATATGAGCAGTATCCCACAGAACTACCCATTTCTGAGAATTAGAGAAGCTCAGAGTTTGAGGGGACCCATGCCAGCAACCTTAATGGACTGAGATTTGTCCTTCTAATCTGACAAAACCCCAGAGTCAACTGGAAAAATCCTGAGCCTTTCCCTTTTGTCGTTAGTATTGCTCTTTCCCAGGATATCCTAAAACAAGAAAAGGAATTACTATCTTCTAGTAGATTTATTGCCTAATGTAAGTCAGGGAACCTTCTTCTTACTTTTAGCCCACAGACATGTTTTCTTATGTATTCATTTTCTAGGGTTGCTGTTACTAAGTACCACAAAATGGATAGCTTAAAAAAAAAAAGAAATTTATTGGCTCATAGTATTAGAGGCTAGAAGTCCAAAATCAAGATTATGGCAGGGCCATATTCCCTCTGAAAGTTTGCTTTCCCTTTTCCTAACTTCTGGTCATTTGCTGGAAATCTTTGATGTACCTTGGCTTGTATATGAATCCCTCCAATCCTATGCTCACATGGTGTTTTCCCCATGTCTCTGTCTTTACATGGCCATACAAGGATGTCAATCATATTGAATTAGGGCTCCACTTTATCCGGTATGATCTCATATTAACTAACTAAATCTTCAAAGAACTTCTTTCTAAGAAAGGTCACATTCTCATGCACTAGGGTTTAGGGATTCAATGTATCTTTTGGGGGGGGATATATTTCAACCCATAACGCCTTACCTGAAATTTTTTAGCAATATGTGAAAGCACTCTGGTTTCAGCCCTTGTAGCCCGAGCACTGCATCACTGCATTTAGGTTATATGAACTCAGGATGGAAGAACTGATTTTATTTTCACAAGAGTTTTCTGAGATGTAAACTGAAGTCATTCAACAATAGGTTACATGACTTATTGTTCACCTTGAGTTCATAGGAAGGAACATCTCACCAGCCCCCTTCTTTTTTTTAATGTTTATTTATTTATTTTTTTTGAGAGAGAGAGAGAGCGTGAGCAGGGGAGGGGCGGAGAGAGAGGGAGAGAGAGAATTCCAAGCAGACTCTGTGCTGTCAGCGCAGAGCCTGACATGGGCTTGAACTCATGAACCATAAGATCATGACCTGAGCTGAAATCAAGAGTCAAATGCTTAACAGACTGAGCTATGCAGGCCCCTCTCTCACCAGCCCCCTTCTGTTAAGAACATTAATGGTGCATATTCCTCAGTCTGGGAGAGTCATACAGTACTACAAAGGGAACAGGATGTAAGCACAATTTTCATATTTTTCCAATTTGCTCTCCTGAGAACCTTTATTTTTAGTTTCACTTTAAGGTATCTAACCCTAGTCCCAAGAGTGAGGGTCAAACGAGAGATGGGCATGGTGGTGGTCTGTAAAGGGCTGATGTTTCTCCCTGCAATTTGTATGCTGAAGCCTTCATTCCCAATGTGATGATTTTTGGAGATGGAGTGTTTGGGAGCTACAAGCATACCTTGGAGATACTGTAGGTTTGGTTCCAGACCACTGCAATAAAGCAAATATTGCAGTAAAGTGAGTCAAATGAATTTTGTGGCTTCTCAGTGCATATAAAAGCTATGTAGTCTTTTCTACTGTAGTCTATTAAGTGTACAATTGCTTTATGTCTAAAAAAGCAATGTATATACCTCAGTTAAAAATATTATTAAAGTCTAATAACCACCATTTGAACTTTCAACAAGTCGTAATTACTGATCACGGATCGTCATAATAAATATCACGATACTGAGAAAGGTATATTTTAAAAATTACCAAAATGTGACACATAGACACGAAGAAAGCAAATGCTGTTGGAAAATGACACCATTAGATTTGTTCAACACGGCAGACCTCCATACACTGGGTTGCCACAAGCTTTCCATTTGTAAAAAACACAATATCTGCAAAGTACAATAAAGAGATGCCCCAAAAAATGAGGTGTGCCTATAGTTAGGTTTAGATGAAGCCACCAGAGTGGGGCTCTCATGATGGCACTACAGCCCTTATCTGAAGAGACACTAGACTGTGCTTGCTCTCTCTCCACCATATGAGAACACAGTGAAAAGACATTTGCTGGTCAAGAAGAGAATTCTCACCAGAAATCATGCCGTGATCTTGGACCTCCAGCCTCCAGAACTGTGAGAAAAGATACTTCTGTGGTTGAAGCCAGCCAGCCTTTGATATTTTGTTATGGCAGCCCAAGAGGATTAAGATATGCTCTATATTCTCAGGCTACCTCACCACTAGGGAAACCATTAAATTATAAGTTCCTTGCGGGCAGTAGCCAGCTCTTTTATGCATAATACATAGTAGTGCTTTACAGTTAGCATTTGTATTACATTGCAAATGTCCGTATTTTACTGATGAAAAAACAGAATTAGAAAGATCCGATGAACCTAAATTGAGTTCAGATTTCTCTCACAGCCCGCCCATCTTGCCCACTGTGCTGTGCCTTATATAGTCTCCGGGTCTTGGGCGTAACTTAAATTGAATCCTGGCTATTCTCTATAGACCATGATGTTGTGAACAGTGTGGGGTGGGGGAAAGGAGACCGTGTGAGTAGAGTTTTGCGAAAATGCTGTGGTTAGGTTTCTTTAGTTTCCCTCCAGAGTGTACATGTAACTGCCATTATTACAGCTTTATAGCTGTCCTTTGTCCTGAAATCCACAGAGATAAGCAGAAGGTTGAAATGGGCAAGGGCAGAGATACTCATGGGCAAGTGTAGAGGAGTCAAGGAGGAGAGCATGAGCTGCCCTCGGTAATGCAGAGGCTGGTGGAGAATCTAGAGAGAAGAATTGCAATTTCTCAGCTTCATTACGCACAGCAGGTCTTTTTCCCCTGCTGAGGTTCTGTACTTTCATCTTCCTGATTGGTAAAGTCCACAGACAGCTTCATTCTGCCTTATGAGCATGATGAAATGTGTCCCAGTGTAGACAAACAAATGGAGGAAACCTAATCAAGTGGCTGTTAGAGCTTTGAAGTACAAATTGGTCCTAACCAATTTGATATTAAAAAAAAAAAAATCCAGTATCATCCAAGTTACCAATTGCATTATTTTTCTTTACTATAAATAGCATCCCAAGCCTAAGTATTTAGAGAGAGATTAGTCAGAATATCAACAGTCACCCAAAGGTACTGGATGACCCTTGACTACTTCTTTTGAAGTTCACAGAAGAAAGGGTAATTTTTATAGAATCAATAAGATCTGGGAATGAAAGTCTACAGTTTGATATTGCAGATTCTTTGGAGATTGGGTGAATGTTCCACATTCTGGGCAACCTGAGTAAATGGGTAGGAATGCAGTTCTTGAATGTCAGTGTTTGTCAATCGTGGTGTTAAGTATCCCAGTGCAATATGGAAGGAATGGGGGCTGGTCCAACCACCCAAGAACCTACAATCTCCTGGTGGCTGTGATAATTTAGGATGAGTGCAGTTAGGAAGACTTTTTTTTTTTAGGAGGGAAATATTGAG